GTCATGAAGAATTAGCTGTTTGGATTTCAGAACTGAAGTTCGGGGTCACTGAACCTGAAATGTAAACTCTGCTTTCTCTGCACAGGTGCTGCCAGACCTACTGAGTTTTTCCAGTAATTTCTGTTTTTCTTTCAGATTTCCAGCATCCGCAGTTCTTTGGTTTCTTTGATCTATCATCCTCTGCATCTAATGGGACTAGATTACTTTCGGATATCTGGTTGCGCAGATGAGTTGGACTGAAGTCAGTTTCAGTCCTGTACAACTTTACGACTCTTAAACTTTGTCCCTGACTGATCAAGAATCTATCTCAGCCTCAAAATATACACAAGGACTTGCCCTCATCAGCTCTCTGTGGCAAGAAGTTCCAAAGAGTCACAACCCTCTAAGAGAAGAAATTGCTCCTCTTCTCAGTTCCAAATTAACATTCCTTTATCAATCTGCCATTAAAAGGCTGATGGAACGGAGCATCTTTAATTGGGTAGGGGGTAACAAAACAGAAGTGTAAACGCCCCTTTAATGATCGACGGGCGGTGCGTCCAATCGGACGCAGGAAAGGGTAAGGAGGCGGGATTGACGGGTGGCGTACAGCCAATAGGCTGCAGGGGGTGGCGAGACCTGCCCGGGCAGTTCAGTCGTCGCGCGGGGAGACATCTGTCTGCCCTCGCGCCCCGGGAGCGGGATGGGGGAGGCCGGCACGCGGGCGGACGGTTAGAAACAGCCCCGACGGACAGCGCGAGAGACGACCGGCTGAACTGACAACTCGGGCGACTCTACCTGATCGAAACGTGGTTTCCCCAGAGCAAACAGAGGGTAGTCCCCTTTTCCACCTGCTGCCATTTCCAACAGGTCTGCGGTCGTGAATCTCAAATCGCTTTAATCCCGAACGCCGCCCACACCTCCGTTGCCCTCGGAATAGGGGGTGGGGCAAAGGGCGGCCGAGCCGCGGACCGGAAGTTGTTGTAGTTCCTCGCTGGGGCCAGCTGCTCGCTGAACTACATTTCCCGACGCGCCAACCTGCGCATGCGCTGTACCCTTATCTGCCCCAGTCAATGCTGGAAAGATTCCGTGTTCAGGAAGGGTTCCACCCCCCACACCTGAAACGTTAACTCAGATATTCTCCTTCACAACTGCTGTCAGACGTGCTGAGCTTTTTCAGCAACTTCTGTTTTTGTTCTCGTAAAGACTCCATTCGCTCAGTTCCTCCGTCTCCGTGGCACATGTTCCGATGAGGCCAACTTCGACAAAGGGAGTCCCCGCTCTACACCTTGTTATCTCAGATTCTCCAGCATCTGCAGTTCCTACTATCACTGAAACAATTTTAACCCCACTGCAAAGCCTCTTCTAAGGATACCTACCTTGAAGAAGTCACCCTCCTCCCTCCGGAAAGACCTCAGTGGATCTCTCTCCCACTGCAACTCTCTTGTAATCTCTTCGGCCCTGAAACTGCTCGCCTTTATCCATCTTCTATCCGCCTCCCCCTCTCTCTCTATTTATTGCAGAATCCCCTTCCCCTCCCCCTTCCCCTCCCCTCCCCCATTTCTGAAGAACGGCCTCCACACGAAACGTCAGCTTTCCTCCTCGGCCTGCTGTGTTCATCCAGCATTACACCTTGTTATCTCCGAAATGTCCACCTTCTTCCTCAGCCGAGGATTCCCCAGCTCCATTGTCAACAGGGCCCTCAAACGGGCCCGACCCATCTCCTGCACTTCCGCCCTCACCCCTTCTCTTCCCTCCTGCAACAGCGAAAGGGTTGCATTTGGTCTTCCCTACCAGCCCACAAGCGTCCACATCCAGAAGATCATCAGACACCATTTCCGCCACCTCCAGCGAGATGCCACCACTAGACACATATTTCCCTCCCTCCCTTGCCCACCTTCCGCAGGGACCATTCTCTCTGCGACACTCTAGTCCACACTTCCTTCACCGACCCACAGCCCCATGCCACCTTCTCCTACAACTGGCCCATTTACCTCCTCCCTTACCACTATCCAAGGGCCCAAACATAACTTCCAGGTGAAGCAGCACTTCACCTGCACTTCTCTCAATTTAGTCTACTGCGTTTGCTGCTCACAATGTGGTCTCCTCTACACTGGGGAAACAAAGCGTAGACTGGGTGACCGCTTTGCAGAATATCTACGTTCTGCCTGCAAAAAGACCCTGAGCTTCCAGTTGCCTGCCACTTTAACGCAGCACCTTGTTCCCTGGCTAACATGTCTGTCTCTCACTTGCTGCAGTGTTCCAGCAAAGTTCATCACAAGCTGGAAGAACAACACCTCATTTTCAGCTTGGGGACCCTGCAGTCCCCCAGACTCTATATAGAGTTCAATAATTTTAGGGCCCGAACTCTCCCATGTTCTAGCTTCTACCTCACATACCAGGCCTTGTTATCACATAGCCTGCCATTACATACTACTTATTGTTATCCACTAACAATCTCCATTAACAGCTATTTACCCTCCTAGCCAGATCATTGTCAACTCTTTTGTTTGTGTAAGAAGGTGGACATTTCGGGGATAACAAGGTGTAGTGCTGGATGAACACAGCAGGCCGAGGAGGAAAGCTGACGTTTCGTGTGGAGGCCGTTCTTCAGAAATGTGTAACTCTCTTTGGGGACTATCCCCACTTATCGTTTACTCCTTACCCCCTCCCCCCACCCTATCTTCTGCATATAAACCAATATTTTCCTAGCTATGATCACCTCTGAGGAAGTCACCGGACCTGAAACCTTCACAGATGCTGATGCCAGACCTGCTGAGCTTTTCCAACTACTTCTGTTTTTACCCCAGTCTATGCCAGTCAAAGGAACTAATGGTCAACTCATTGAAAAACTTAGTAAAGTGGAAATATTAATGTGCTGAATTGACTTACCTGGAGGTAGAGTCATGAGGAACGCTGTAGAACACCTGGCTACTACTTTAGAGATTAATTAATTGGGATTTAAAAGTAAATATTGAAAGTATTAAATATTAATCACAAGTATCAAGTAAGCAACGAGTAAGTTTTACCTTTAAAGTTTAAAGTTTAAGCAAGATCTGTCGACACTGGTAAGGTGTATCAAGTATTAGTGGGCAATATCAGTATTTCTAAGGTTTATTAATGCTATATGCAAGCTGCATCAGCCTTTTAAGGCAGCTGACCTGATTGGCACCCCATCCACCACCTTCATCTTCACTTCCTCGATTAGTCATCCAGGGTACTCTAGCTTTGGATACACCATATTTATCTCATGGATATGTACCTAGCTTACGCCCTACTCAGTCTTTCTTTTGAAATTTTCCTATTTTTCATCCACTGTTTTATCCACCAAAAATGTGTTTCCAACCAATGTGCTCTAGTTGAATTTTTTAGACCTCTGAAATCTGCCCCTTTCCAGTCTGGTATCTTAATCATTGACTGATTTTTATTCTTTTTGAACATGATAAGGTTCAATATTAAGTTATGATCCCTATTTCCCAAATGCTACACCATTCTCCACTTGGTCTGTCTCATTTTCTAGGACCAGATCCAGCACAGTTCCCTCTTGTTTATCATGTTTATCAGGATTCTTGTAGGAGTTAACAAATAGTATCCATCATGAGAGAAGCTGAAAGACGACCTCAGGAGGTGAAACCTTAAGTACCTGTCTTTTTGTTATTGTCAAAAGGTATTCAAATATGAACAAACAGCAAATCAAGTATAAAGTGTTAATAGGACATGCCTTACCAGACAAAGATAAAGCGTCCTAGCACTTTGTCAAGCTAGAAAGATAAGTAAGAAGTTACTGCAAATGGACAAAAGTTTGCCACGCTCCAGCTGTGGAGATCAGCTACATCTGTGTGTCCATTCTCTAGAAACTAAACATGGGCTTTGCTGGCTGGCCAGTATTTATTGTCCTTACCTAGCTGCCCTTGAAAAGGTGGTGGTGAGCCACATCCTTGAATTGCTGCAGTCCATGTTCTGTGGATAGACCCGTAATACCCTTAGGGAGGGAATTCCAAGATTTTGACCCAGTGACAGTGAAGGAATGGCGACGTCATTTCCAAGTCAGGATGGTGAGAGGCTTGGAGAGGAACTTGCAGCTGGTGGTGTCCCATGTATCTGTTGTCCTTGTTGTTTTCACTGGAAGTTGTCATGGGTTTGGAAGGTGCTGTTGAAAGATCTTTGGTAAATTTCATCAGTGCGTCTTGTAGATGGTACACACTGTTGTTACTGAGCATCAGCAGCAAATACATAGGAATACCACAATGTGCAAGTTCCCCTCTAAGCCTGACTTGGAAATATATTACTATTCCTTAAGTGTCACTGGGTCAAAATCTTGTAACTCCCTTCTGTATGGCATTGTGGGTGTCCCTGCACTAGGCAGGTACTGCAGTTTAAGATGGTGGTTCACCACTAACTTCTCAAAAGTTGCTCATCCTTGAAAGAATTAAAGTTTGTACTCTGTTCCCAACCCTTGACCTTGATATGCTCTTGGATCCAAAAGTTAGATATGACAGAGATTAGATGCTTAAGCAAAACAATTTCTACTGTATTGCCCTCTGATTACTACAGGTCCTGCGTTTCCAGCACCTTCTAATCTGTAACATTCACTTTTGAGAAGGCAGTAGTTCCATCAGAGCATACCATTGCTATACAAGTCACACAGTATCTTGACTTGGAACTGTATTACCAATCCCTCAATGTCACTGCGACAAAATTATGAAACCTCCTGCCTGAGAGAACATTAATCTGAAAGAGTGCTGACTAGCACCTTCTCAGGGCAACAAGGGATGGATAATATGGCAGCCTTACTCATGACACTCGCATCTTGAAAACGTTTCTTTTATAAAAAATAAAAATGCGATAATGCCATGTGCTGTGGATTAGCATCAACTGGAGTGAGTTAAGACTTGCTAAACTATTTTCCATAAACATTTGCAAGAAAAAGATAAACATTTTCATCCGTCAATCTACATATTTGGCAAAGATATCTACGTCACCCAATCTCAAGAAAACATTTATTAAAAGTTCTGACACGTTACTTGATTATTTCATGATTTAACTTTATTAACAAGCAGCATTTTTTTAAAAGCTCCATCTCCACTTCCTGAAAGCAGGATTTTGTTTTAATTACATAAAGGCAGAAGAGTTTAGACAGGGTTCTCTTCAATCTAAAATAAGGTAAGATGTATTGCGATACTATACAACAAAACTGAACAGGATAGGGACATGTTGAGGTTCTATACATTGTGACTGTCTAAGAAAGGGGTAAGTATCCTGAAATGCTGTACATTGAATGCTGTCTACCCACAACGGCAGCTAATGAAGTAGAGAAAAAAATCCAATTCCAAACTTATCCACTTCAAAATAAATCAATGACATAAATTACTGTTGAAAACGTTTCAGTTCCACAAGTAAGTCCACAAAAGAAAAGTTTTTATCCCTTCAGCCCCGTGTTCTCCACGAGTTATTCCGTAGGTGATGATACAAGTTGATCATTGCAGTGACTCTACCCCTTAGGACTTTTATAACATAGGAATCCATATGGGAACAATAAATGCAACACCAGCATTCAGGATAATGAACTTCTCAACCTTAGGTTTTACTCAATTTTTAACTGGATCAAATTTAAATTTTAAAAGAAGCTTATAACAATGGATTTGCTTTAGAACAGATGTACAGTTTTTGAACACTCACTTTGGAAGCTGAGTTAGGATAATATAAAGTATACTGACAAGGCAAATATTTTTATACAGTGCTTGAAACAATATTTGTTGATAAATTCCAACTATGAGACAGAAACCAACCAACTCTTAGAAAAATAACTGAAGTTTTAATGTAGATGCTTTCCTGAGGACTTTTACATTTAGGGAACACTGTTCCCGTCAAAACATTTGTGATTTTGCTAGTAAATGAAAAAGATTTTCTTAACAATATCATATAGAAAATTTCTGATTTTTATTTCAGCCACTAGTCATCGTTTGTTTCGAGTATTTTAATGCAGTCATTCATGGTTGTGAACAGATGAGGAGTTTCAATTGGAAACAGACCTCAGATGTGACCTAGGAGTGGAGAATGGCAACAAAATTGTCCTGCAATCACCTGATAAATTTATTCAAATATATTAAATTGCGTGTTTAATGAAAGATGCCATTATGGACAAAGGACCTTCAGGACCAACTTTCAGCACTGCTGATTGAGCTGCTATCAAAAATACTCTAGTTGCCTTCAGTGTCCAGGACTAGGGAGGGGATAAATGAAGCAGGGGAGTTTCCCCAATGCCAATTGTTTGAACCTTACCAGAGAAAGTGCACTAGTGTGGATATTTGGCAAGAATCAGTTCAGGCTCTCACTGTGACACAATACACTGGATGGATTATATTACTTCTAGAAACAGTCACAATTTCTGATTGGTGAATGGAAAAGGCAGTGGCAAAGTATCTGGTCAGTTATTGTTCTTTTGAAATGCCATCAATTCTGTCACATCAACAACAGTTAAATTGCATACAGAAGCTTTCTTATTCCTCGATAGCAGACAGTTACAGAGCCAAAACAGATGAGAAAAACAAACAAGACATTGGGTTTTGTACAAGAAAATGGGTTTCTGACAGATGGCTGGAAGATGAGTATAAATGAAAAACACTGAACATATTTTATGGAACTTGTTTCATGCTTGCAAAGGCACAGGAATTTGGTATATAGCGCGGGTTATATGCAGTTTAAGACTACTTTTAACTTTGCTTCAACCCGAGGGAAGTCTCCTTACTGTGCAAGCTCTGAATGTTTTCTCTTTCAGAACTTACATTTTGCATAGCAAACACCCCATGGCCTGTAACAAAACTGCCAATTTGTTGTCAATCTGTATTGAATTATAGGATAAGCTTGATGCTGCAGGCTCACGCCCACTAACAACAGGTTGCCCTAATTTCACTCCGAGTTTTGTCCATCCAACAAATCAGAGCTGCATTTGCCTCTTGGCCGCAATTGTGAAAACACAGCGTTTCAACCAAAGTGTGACTAAGTCATGTTCCCCTTTAACCATCTCTTTAGCGACTCATTAATCTCCCTCTTGGGACAATCATTTAAAAACACAGGCCATCTACAGCAGGAAAGTGATTACATCAGTTGTACTATTTGGTTCCAGAATTTACTAGTGTAAGGGTAGAAAGGAAACCCTTCTACAGTCACAAGGCTATATCATTTGTTAACTGCCTTGTTCTTCAACTTTTCACTCACTGATTGGAGAATGCTGGGCTTTTGCTCCATGACTTGCACTAGGACTACATCGATGTATTCTTCTAGATCTCGCACATGCTCCTCTTTCTTCTTCATCTCCATCTCCTGCTGCAGAATTATTTTGATGAGTTCATCATGAGTCAGGTGGTAGTAACGAGCAACTGGGTCAGTGAGCTTGGATTCCTGCAACACAATTAACCCGGTTAAATTAAAAAAAATACACCAATTAGAAAAAATGATCCAACAAGCAGAGCTATGCCTTCCTGGCTCAATGAATAAAAACAAATCTCAAGCACCATTCAGCTCACTGGTCTACATGGAATTTTCTACCCCTTCACTGCATGGAGTGATTGATCTCAGTTGAGGTGGAAGGACAGGCATTTCAAATCCTCTGGGTCAGAATTCCTATTCTTTTGTTGCTGGTGTTGGCTTGACTCAGTTAATAGTACTTGTAACCAGAAGTCCAAGATTTGAACACTTAGTGCAGGCTTCAGTGCAGTACAAGGGTAGCAGTAATGTCTTTTGACTCAGATATTGAACAGTGGACCAGATTTGTTTGGGTTCGTGGAGCATTTTCATATTTTAAATCATTCTTAAGGTGACAGACTATCAGTTGCCTAATATAAAATTTAGAAAATAAAAATTGGAATGGAGGAGAGAGATTTAAAACAATAGATAAAATAAATAGGGGCTTTTAATTTCAGTACAGTCTGTGACCAACTTAACATTGAGAATAGATTTATAAGGATGGGAAAATTAAAGGAATGCTGTACCTAATTAAGCCGGTTTACCGATAAACAAGCATTCACGGGAGAGGAGAGTTTTTAATTGCTAGTCACCACTTCATTATCTTGGCAGCGAAGAACTTCCTTAATGGTTAATATTTCAACCAGGGGCTGTCACATCACACCACACTCAATCCTCTCCAAAATAAATATCAACAGCTGAGCATGGCCAGCAGGCCTGCAAGTCCCTTCTGAGCCTAAATAATCACATTAAGCCCTTCCATTTTATACCAGTGGTGGGCACTTTCTAAGTAACTTAATAGACTTCAACAGCAGTGTTCACTTTGCTTAAGTGCAATCAAACAAGGAGGCCTTCAGGCTAGGCTTTGTCAACTGCAGTAGCACATCCAGGCCAAACCTAGTTTGCTGAAGAGCACCTCCTACATCTGGGCAACCATACAGTACACACTCATCCTGAATGCAAAATGAAGCTCCCTGATGCTCTTTGGAAACGAACTCCCGTTGCGAGAATTCCAGGCTCAAAGAGCTCTCATTGCCCTCAAGTGGTGAGCTGCCATATGAAGTCACTGCAGAGCATGTGGTGATGGTACAACGCACAATACTGTTAGGGATCCAGGATTCCGACAAGGTAACACTGGTGATTTTTTTTTTCCCCCACATACAGACTGTGTGAGCTTTGTTCCATGTCTCCAATCCCACTGTTTCATTCACCAGCATCTTCCCAGAAATCAAAATTTCAGGCAACCCACCTACAACAATTTATGTTCATATAATACCTTTATGGCATTCCAAGATACTTCGTAGCAATAGCAGGAAGGTAATTAAGATTGTGTGCCAATAGGGTTCTTAAAGAGCTAGGTATTAAATATAGCAAGGCAAAGAAGGTAGGGGAGGGGATGTCAAAGATTGCAATGAGGAGTGAGTGTGCAGAGAATGATTCGAACAACAAACATTATAGAGGAGGAGAAGTGCAGGAACAGGTATGGAAGAGGAAGAGATTCAAGTTGGGTTTGTAGGTCCGGAGGAGGAGAGAGAGGTGCTGGAGAGATTTATAGGAGTGAACAATAATCTTGGAATAGATGCAGTGGTTAAGCATGAATTAAGCAAGGTTTCCCTTCACGTCGTCTCAAGCTTATTTGAGAAGAGGTCCGTGCAGCTAAAGATGTTATTTGATTGCCCTTGCTATTTTCCTGAGATCCAACCCTATGCATTCTCCAGCCTACAGAAAATCTGGTGAAATTACACTTAAGGCAGTTGCCAATAAGAAAAAGTGCACTTTTGTGTAAATCTCCTCCAGTTCTACTCAATAGAATTCACTCAGTTACAGTCGTTTGGTTATACAGAACTTGAGTATTGCTGAAAAAAGACACTTAGAAGCTTTTTGTATTGCAATCATCAGGACAATTCATAAAAAAAAAGAAAGGAAAACTAGGACTTATACTGAATGAGAGGACAGTGTTGACTGGTTGGTAAGTGTGCTCTGATTGTTAAAAACGTCACCAGAATAACACACCGGTTGATGATAACTGACAGTTAACTGCCAATCTTTGAACAAATTTTATAACTAGCAATTGGCTAATTGTTCAAGGCATTGACCTGAGAAATGAACTAGCAAATGGATATTACTTAAGTAAAAGCAAAATACTGTGGATTCAATTTTTTAAAAGTACGAGAGAAGCTCAGCACATCTGGCAGCATCTGCGGACAGCAAAACAATTAACATTTTGGGTTCAGTATGTATTTTCTTCAGATCTGAATGGCTGTCACTTATTTTGTTGAGTTGAACAGGTCCAATGTGGATATGTGTCCTTTCTGTCTGCAAAGAACAGGGCCCGATATCTTGATCTATATAAGTACCAATACTTCCAAGTACACCACACTAAGTCCAACTGACAATCCTAAATTTCTGTTCAGTGTAATCCTTCATACATGATTATCCTGCAAATGTCCAGTGGAGAATTGCATTTAATGTTGCAAGTTTTGCAAACACAAACTGACTTGAGTATGGTCAGCACTTTGCTTGTTGTTAACAACCAAAGGGACATGCTGTTTGATACAATCCCACAGTACTTGAGAGGTCTGGCCTACATACCAGGCAATATGCTGGCACTGAATCTTTTGAAGAGTCCTGATGAATGCAAGATGAAAAGCTTTGACAAAATATCATTTTATCAGCAACAGTTCATTTATCTTAAATGTAACCATATTTTCTGGTATCTCCATAGCTTACTTCTTGTAATGGCTGTGCAGAACATAAGAAACAGGAGCAGGAGGCCGCCATCTGGCCCATTGAGCCTGCTCTGCCATTCAATAAAATCATGGCTGATCTTTTCATGGACTCAGCTCCACTTACCCACCATTCACCACAACCTTTAATTCCTTTACTGTTCAAAAATCTATCTTTGCCTTAAAAACATTCAATGAGGAAGCCTCAACAGATTCACTGGGCAGGGAATTCCACAGACTCAACGCTTTGGGTGAACAGGTTCCTCCTCAACTCAGTCCTAAATCTGCCTCGCCCTTATTTTGAGGCTATGCCCCCTAGTTCTAGCTTCACCCGCCAGTGGAAACAACGTCCCTGCTTCTATCTTATCTATTCCCTTCATAATTTGATATGTTTCTAAGATGCCCCTCATTCTAAGAAATTCCAATGAGTATAGTCCCAATCTACCTAATCTCTCCTCATAAACCAAAACTCTACACTCCGCAATCAATCTAGTGACTCTCCTCTGCACCCCCTCCAGTGCCTGTACATCTTTTCTCAAGTATGGAGACCAAAACTGTACACATTACACGGAGAAACTGTATATAGTATCCTGAGGATTCATCAATATTTTGATTAATTCAAATCATTGTTACTTCTTTACACGTGTACACAGTGCTCATGTACATGAATCTCAAAATGTTATTTTCGTCTAACGGGCTTTCCATTCATAGCCTATTGTATCTATTGTTTAATTCCTGGTTTCCCTCCAAAATGTATCACTTGACACTTAACCAGATTAAATTCTACCTGCCACCTGTCTGCCATTTCACTACCTTTTCTGTGTCTTCGCAAAATCTTTCATTATGTTCCGCATTGTTTTTAAACATATTACTTGTACAATAACCCCACCCCTAGTCGTCCATTTACCTTTACTGCTTCCTGCTCCTCCTGACCTGATGCTGGTGATTTGATGGGGCTGATACTTCCTGTGGTCACATTCTTCAGTTTCTCAAGCCCGCTGCTTAAAGTGCTGCCAAGATCCAATAGACCAGATTTCTTCTCTGTAATCTGCACAGTACTGATCGGCTTCACAGGATGAGGGCTGATGGGATAACAGAGAAAGTAACTCATCTAACATACTATCACGGTACAGGCTGAAAAACGTTTTTTAATTTTAAAAAAAAATTGGTCTCATCAGAATAGTTGCTGGGTTCCAGATCCTCACAGACCAGCAGATTTCCAATTCCTTATTGTGACTCTGCCAGGAAATGTCTGCAGACATCCTACAGTCCCCATTTTCTTTGACGGGCCAGAGATATTTTGGTAATCTCATGTATTAAAAAGAAACTTTTGTTTGCTTTCTTTTCTACATGCCTCAATTTAAATAGTTAAGGATTTGATTGTTAGACCACAATAGAGAATTGTGTACAGTTCTGGCTACTACAACCGTTCTCTACTCCAAAGAAATCTCATTTGAGATGGCACACATATGCCTTACAAGGATGCTACCTGGAACGGAAATTATTAGCTATTAGGAAGATTGGATAGATTGGGTTATTTTCTTAGGAGAAGGAGACTGAAGGGAAATTCAGTTGAAGTGCATAAAATTATGAGGAGTCTGTGGATAAAGGATAAAGTTGCCATAATCCTACCTGACCATAGGGCTGCTCTCTCATTAGAGACAGACAATTGGTGGTGGCTTAACTGGAGGGGTTCAGATAGAGGGTCCTTGATGGTTACTTCAGCCAGTGTAGGAATTGAACCCATGCTATTGGCATTACTCGGCATTGCAAACCAGGTAACCAGCCAACTAAGCTAACCAACCTGTCGTCTATAAAGTAGATAGAAGGGACCTTTTTCCCTTAGCAGAGAAGTAAACAACCAGGGGATGCAGAATTAAAGTAATTCGTAGAAAGATTAGAGGGTTGTTGAGCCATGCAATTATTTCAGCACACAAGGCAACCATTTGGCACGGTGTTTACACTGGCTTACAGTGAGAATTTCACCCAGTACCATTCCCTCACCTTCTCTCGATAACTCTGCACATCCTTCCATTTCAGATATCAACCCTCTTGAATGCCTTAATTGAACCTGGCTCCAACCAAGCTTTCAGGCAGTGCATTCCAGATTCCAACCACCCAGTGTGGTGGCTTCTCCTCAAGACATCATTCCTTCTTTTGCCAATTATCTTTAACCTTTTCCCTCTTGTTCTCAATCCTTTCATTCACAGAAACCAGTTTTCAAGACCATAAGACACAGGAGCAGAAATTAGGCCATTTGGCCCACCAAGTCTGCTCTGCCATTCAATCATGACTGATAAGTTCCTCAACCCCATTCTCCTGCTTTTTCCCCGTAATCCTTGATCCCCTTGATAGATCAATATACTCTGTCCAGGTGCCTCATGATTTTGAGCAAATCTCCTCTCAACCTTCTCTTCTCCAAAGGAAACAGTCCCAGTTTCTGTAATCTATCCACAAACTGAAGTTCCTCATCCCTGGAATATTTTCTGCACTCTAATCCTCCCTCCAGCGAACTGGAGGCAATACACCAGTTGAGGCCAAATGGGAGATTTGTGCACCCAATGGGTGATGAGGGTCTGGAATTCTTGCCTGAAATGATGGGGGCAGCAGAAAGCCTCACTGCAATTGAAAAAACCCTTAGATTTCGACTTCAAGTACTGAAAGCTACTGGGCTATGGATCAAGAGCTGGAAGTTAGGTAAAGACTGGATATTTCTTTTTTAGCTAATGTGACAATAATGAGCCAAAGGCCTTCTGTACTGTAAATTGATGTCTGATTAGTTAGCTAAGGAGAAGTCATTTGTTCTCATGATGAAATCAAGTGTTCGATACGTAACCTAAAATTAGACTGGGCCATTCAGAGGTGATGCCACACAGCATTTCTTCACTAGTAGGGTAATGGAATTCTGTTGTTACTGGAGCTCAATGGAGACTTTCATACCAGAGGTTAATGATATTTTTACTGGGTCAAGGATATTAAGATATACACATTCAGGGTGGTTAACTGGAGTTGAGTTATAAAATCAGACAGAATTTAAACAAATGGAGGAACAGATTCTGGTGATGAAATGGCCCATTTTCCTCATTCAGTCCCAACTGCATAACTCACTCTATCTGTAGGAGTGTGTCACAAAGTACAGTAACCATCGGGGTTCTATTTGATTGTAGAGGGATCATTCCAGACAATCCTCTGCTCCGGACAAACGTTCCGGCAGAGGTCGTTGAATAGGGAAAAGGGGCAGCCTGATTTGTCCCTTCTCCATTTCAAAAACACAAAGATTAAATGCTACTTTGCTAGAATTTTGTGGCCTATAATTGTGGTGTCCGTGGCGGGTGAAAGACAGTGCTAATTGAATTTAATGTTCCACTATTGAAGGCTTCAATAAGTTCACAGCCAAATACAGCTCTTTGAGCAGGCAGTACTCCTTTCGGAACACAGGGGAACTATTTTTCACTGCACTTTGTCTTAACCTTTTTGTCCTCAGGTCCCAAGCTACATCAGAAAATGAAGTGCACCTCATTCACGGTGGAAGCCAAGATGGTGGTATAAGACCCTTCAGCTGGAGCTCATCTGCTCTGTCGGTTTCTCTCTCTCCTTTTTTTCCCCTCTCTCGGTGTTTCTTTTCTTCACTCCCAGCTTCAGCATGGACCCAGCAAGGCGTCCTCTCGGCCTGATCTCTCAGCAGCCCATGGCGGTCTCTCGGCCCGGTGTGGCGGTGTCTCGATGTGAGAGTTGGTCCTGCCCAGACATGTTCTGGAGACAGCAGGAGATTGGGGAGGCGGCTGCTTCAGCATCAACAGCGGCCTTGGCATCATGGCCCACACGGGAAGAGTGAGCGGTGAGGGAGGTCCCCTGGCATCTGTGGCGGCGGCATCGAGAACAGGCAGCTGAGGTCTCTCCCGGATAGTGAGCTAAGCAGAAGGCTCATCAAAGGCTGCCGAGCTTTTAACTTAAATCCTTTATTTTTCTAGTTTATATTAAGAAGGGATTTAAAGTCAACTATTACCTTATTTCACTAGTTTTCTAATACCACCAGCATGGCGATGCCTGCCCTGACAGCCCTAGACACACCTGTTCCCTCTGTCACTGCTTCAGAAGCCAGATCTGTCTTCCTGGGAGTCATTCCAAGGAAAGTGATGGGCCCGGACGGTGTCGCCGGCCAAGCACTCGGATCCTGTGCAGACCAACTGGCGGAGGTACTCAGTGACATCTTCAACCTCTCCCTCCTACAAGCCAAAGTCCCCACCTGCTTCAAGAAGATCACCATCATCCCCGTACCCAAGAAAAGACATGCAGTGTGCCTTAATGACTACCGGCCAAAAGCTCTGACTTTGATAATCATGAAGTGCTTCAAGAGGCTGGTCATGGCCTACATCAACCCTAGCCTCCCAACCTGCCTCGATCCCCTAGTTTGCCTACCAACGAAACAGGTCTACAGTGGATGCCATTTCCTAGCGCTGACATCCCTGCAACATCTGGCTAACAAAGACACTGATGTCAGACTCCTGCTCGTTGACTACAGCTCCGCCTTCAACACCGTTATCCCCTCCAGAATGATCTCAAAACTGCGTGACCTTGGTCTCGGCTCCACCCTCTGCAACTGGATCCTGAGCTTTCTGAGCCATAGACCGCAATCAGTGAGGATAGGTAACGGTGCCTCCTCCACAATAACACTCAACACTGGAGACCCCCAAGGATGTGTCCTCAGCCCCCTACTGTACTCCCTGTACACTCAAGATTGTGTTGCCAAATTCCGAACAAATGCCATCTACAAGTTCACCGACGACACCACCGCAGTGGGATGGATATCTAACAACGACGAGTCAAAACACAGAAGGGAGATAGAGGGCTTGGTGACGGGGTGCAATGAAAACAATCTCTCTCTCAATGTTGGCAAAACTAAAAAAATGATCATTGACTTCAGAATGAAAAGAGGAGAACAAGCCCCCATCTACATCAATGGAACTGAGGTTGAGAGTGAAAAGCATCAAGTTCCTCGAGTGACAATAACCAACAACCTGTCCTAGACTTGCCACGCAGATGCAACAGTCAAGAAGGCACAACAAAGCTTCTTCTTCCTCAGGTAGCTCAGGAAATTTGCCATGTCCATAAGGTCCCTCACCAACTTCTACAGATACACCATTGAAACCATACTGTCCGGGTGCATAACAGCCCGGTACGTCAACTGCTCTGCCCAGGACTGTAAGAAACTACAGAAGGTGGTGTGCACAGCCCAGACCATCACGGAAGCCAACCTTCCATCCATGGACTCCATTTACATGGCTCATTGCCGCAGAAAGGCGGCCAACATCATCAAAGACCCATCGTACCTTGGTAATGACCTCCTATAACCTCTTCCGTCAAGCAGAAAATACAGAAACCTGAACACACGCACCAGCAGGTTCAGGAACAGCTTCTTTCCGGCAGTTATCAGACTGTTGAATGGACTCTAGCCTCAAATAATGTAACCTGTATGCCTCTAAGTCTTTTTGATCTGTACACCGTTTGCTTGCTGTGATCTGCTTGTACCGCTCGTAAACAAAGCTTTTAAAAAAGTTTTTAAACCACTTTGTACCTCGGTACCTTTGTACCCAAGATGGTGCTGTGTGGCAATATTAGTCATTTTCATTGTACTCCTGTACTTGCATACATGTGACAATAAAAATCTAAATCTGAAAAAAAAACACCGAACAAGTAATGCCACTCAGATTGGTCACAAGTGTGGTGTGTGAGACAGAACCTGTCACTGGTCCTTGTTAGAGCAGAGGTGTCTTCTGACATTGAATAAATAACATCATTGAAGTCAAATAGATGGTGACTATCAAATACTTTGGCTACAGTTTGTTTCCAGAGATAGAAGTAATACATTTGGGAGTCAGCAGAACTGTTCTTGTGTCTTCAAAGCAGGAGATTAAAGACCAAATTGAAACCAAAACAGTCCCTGTCACACCCCAGCACTCAAGCTGTCAAACCACAAACCTCAATGCCTAATTATACTGTCCTTTTCCATGCAGTACTGTACCAGATCTGTTCGTTGCATTTTGGAGGTATAATATTACTGTAAAGCACAAGACTGAAATTCCAATATACTGCAAAGCTACAGTGCAGATACTCATCCACTTCAAC